TCAGTCCTTGTACTTGAATGTTAGTGACCTGTTTGTAGGTCTGTCCACCACTCTCTACTACTCTCCCCTGACCCCTAAACTGTGAACTTTTGGTGTTTCCACTGTGAGTAGAAAGAGTCTGCGCCTGGAGTACTCTGCTCAATAAATGCCTGGCAAAGCATTTGTCAAAGTTTCTGAGTCACAGCATAACAAAATTGTGACGTTGAGCTCTGCGATTTAATTGTAATAATAAGGAGGACCTACAAAGCTAATCTAGTTCAGAGGTAGCGACCAACTCCACCAAGTCACAGGACCACATGGAAACCCAAAGATCTATATTTCTATGAATCAAAGGTCCTTTCAAACAATTCAAGCCATGGTAAAGAAAAGCCATCCCCCATGTTCTGCTTTTAATGCCTCAGGCTGGATTTAAACATAGAGAATTTAGATCAAATTACTGAACTTCTCTAAGTTGTTAGCACTTGTCCTTTCCATAGTCTTTATATGTGTCCCTCAGCCTTCTTTCCATGCCTGACACAATACAGAAGCTTGATAAATAATGATTTTTCAAAATATTGCTGTTGCCAAGAGTCATAAAAAATATTTTTAATAATAAAAACTCAGCACAAAAAATAGGATAGGGAAGGCAGAAAAAACCTACACATGACATAAGCATAAGGGAGCTGAGCAAAAAGAAAACCTCTCTCCTCCACTATGTTTCTGCCTTCAAATTTCTTTTCTCAAAAACAGACAATTCAGAGGTAATTATTCATTTTTAGATCATCATAGGTAGAGATTTAAAAGTATAGTTTCTACTGTGAACAAGCATTAGACATTCAAGGAAAGTCACCAGTATAGTCATGAATTTAAAAAATCATAAAAAAAGAAACGTTGACTTCAGATGCATCAGATATAACACACACCAAAAAAAATTCCAAATGAATCACATTTTTTACCTTTGAAAATGTTTGTCTTAAAATTTTTTAAAGATTAAAAAACATTTGTAGGGACATGGATGAATCTGGAGAACATCATTCTCAGCAAACTGACACAAGAACAGAAAATGAAACACCGCATATTGTCACTCATAGGCGGGTGATGAAAAATGAGAACACATGGACACAGGGAGGGGAGTACTAAACACTGGGGTCTATTGGGGGGAAAAGGGGAGGGCCAGTGGGAGGGGGAGGTGGGGAGGGATAGCCTGGGGAGAAATGCCAAATGTGGGTGAAGGGGAGAAAGGAAGCAAAACACACTGCCATGTGTGTACCTACGCAACTGTCATGCATGTTCTGCTCACGTACCCCAAAACATAAAATGCAATAAAAAATTAAAAAAAAAACAATCAAATAATAAAAGCATTTTAAAAGTTTGATTACTAAAATGAAAAAGTAAATAAAGCATTGAAAGATAGACTCAAAAAAATCTCAAAAACAAAAAAAAAAGGGGGGAATAAACTAACAAAGACAATGTAGGAGAGGAAAGAGACAGAGAGTAAGTTCAGTAGATTCATCCCCAGGAGTATCAGGGATAACAAAGAGGACAGAGAAAACTGAATGGAGAAATACCAAAGGAGTAATTTAAGAGATTTTTCCAGAGACAAGGTGCATAAGGGTCCAAACTGAACAGTGTTCAACAAAAGAACAATAAAAGGCAAGTTCTAAAAAATAATCTTACAAATCCCTAGAGTATCAAGGCTAAGAATAAGATTCTAAAACAGTATATAAATATACATTTATATATACACACATATACCTATATGTGTGTATGTATGTATACACACATACCTATAAAAATACACACAATTATCAGAACAGAAGCTAGAAGCAATTAACAAATTTCTTCACGAGTTTCAGAGAAACTGTTTTTCAATTCAAAATTTTACACCAAGCAAACTTTCAGTTTTGTATGAAGGCAGAATAAAAACATTCTAAGAAGTGCATTTTCTGAAAAGATTATCTAAAACATCTTTTCTTAGAAACTTACTTGAGGATTCTTTCCAGAAAAATAAGGTAGTAAATTAAGAGATATTCATGTAATTCAGGACACAGTGGCTCTAACCCAAAAAAGGCAGTGAAGAGAAGTCCCAGGATGACAACTGTGCAGCAGACCTAAAGATAACTGGCCAAGATTGGAAGAGGAAAATAGAATTAACTAGAAGGAAGCTCTCTAGAAAAGTGTTAAAAAACGTGTTTTTTGAAAGGTGAAGAAGAAAAATTTTATTTAGTGTTAGAACAGCTCAGAGGAGGGAAACATGTCTATAAATATAGTCTACAATTAGCCAGTAAAATAAAGTATTTGAAAACAATCGAGACTATCAAGAAAGAATAAAAGAAGGAAGGAAGGAAATAGATACTCAATAGGTTGGGCTGGGCATGGGAAGAAGCCGTGCAAGAAAAAAATATGGTAATAGACTAGTACTTTGTTCTGCAACAAATAACCTTTCACAGTCACACTGCTATAATACATACAATTAATTCAACAAAAAATAGTAAAATAATTATATGGAAGAATGCAAGGGCAAGGAAGGAGATAATGTAAGAGAGTTAGTCTCGTCTCTATCATAAGAAGTCAATGGATAATGTTTAAAAGTTATGACCCAAGCAATATAAATAATATTTGGAGATGTAGAGGAAACTACCAGAAAAAAAACAGGTAAATAGATAAATATAGTAACCTGTGTGGAGCAAGGACAGAATGTGGAGAAGGATGGGGAAGAGGTAAGCAGGAGATTGTTCTTCCTTCTGCCTTTTTATATAATTTGATATTTTAAACCATGAGCACTTTTTACTTTGAGTTAGTATTTTTAACTATCATAAAGTATAAATATTTCCTTTGTATACCACAAAGCAGGTTTTATATGTGGGGGTAAGAGAGTCACTTAGGAATAAAGGTTCAAAACACTACTGGGTCTATAAATAGAAGGAGCGAGTTTCCCTTCTGGAGGCAGTGAAGTGAGTACCTTATAAACACCCAGATAAGGGCACTGTGGTAGGAATTTAGAGAAACAAAGGGAAACTCTGAGGAGAATAATACCTGGGTACCTTGAAAGACAGCTCTCTCAGACAGGTCAGTGAATTATTACTCTAAACTAGGAGACCAGACTTTCTCATTTCTCCAGGGGATCCTAAGTGTTGCTAACACTTATCTCCTGACCTCATGATCCACCTGCCTCAGCCTCCCAAAATGCTGGGATTACAGGCATAAGCCACCATGCCTAGCCGAATTAATGTTATTTTAGAACTATTTGTGTACATCGACAACTTTAGAGCTACTTTCTTATACTTTTTTATTTGATTCACAAAATAACCTGAAAATACTGATAATGCACAGTATTACTGCAATCATCCTCATTTTACTGACAAGACTTCTGAGTTTCTGAAAGTGACTTGCATAACTTGCAAACCTAGTTAAATAGGAAGGACTCCAAAATTTAATCATTTGGAACCCTTAATTCAGAATCATGTACTCAATTCTTAACACCACATGCTTGAAGTACAAGCTACTCTATTAGTGGTAATTTATACCAAGAGGACTCCCCACACTCAGGGATACCATGAACTACTTGTACAAATTGTGTCCAACATGAAGGCAGCCATCAAGACATTGGGTGGGAGTGGAGATCCTGTTCCCTCACCTCCCACCAGCCCTATACCCTAGCTCGGGTAAGCCTTTTCATAATTTGAACAAAGGCACCAGTCATGTACTGGGGATGCCTTGTCCACATACACATATACATAAGTTCACTAGCTACCTACCTACTTCCTTAACCTCCTCCATTATGTCCAACCCCTACATCAGCCATCAAATGAGAATCTTCTTACTGGTTTCTGTCTCAGAACAAGAGACACATGAGAACCATTTATTCATCAACTTAAACAACTAAACATCAGCTATTCTAGGCATTGGGAATATAGTGGTTAACAGAATAAACAAGGGCCCTGATCTCATGGAGCTGATATTCCAAACAGGAGAAAAACAGACAAACACATGAATGTGAAAGAAAAATTATCAGAAATACTAAGTGTTAAGCAGGAAATTTTAATTAGTTGATGTAACAGTAACTGATAGATGCTTTAATTTGAGGGATCAGGAAAGGCCTCCCAGGTGGTAGTATCTAAGCAGATATTTGAATGACAGGAGAGAACCCACCAAGGGAAGATTAAGGAAAAGAGGATCCCGGGAAGATGGAACAGCAAATGCAAAGCCCTAGGGGCAGGAAAAAAGCTTGATCTGTTCCATGGAACAGAATCGAGTCATTGAGGCTGTGTGATGTGGGTGGGGACGGAGAGGTAGACAGGGACCAGATTGCATTAAGAGCCTGTGTGTCAGGTAGGGGGTTCAGATTTTATTCTGAGTGCAGTGGAGGAAAAAAATCTTAAGAAGGGAAATGACAGGATCTGACTTACCATTTTCAAAAGATCCTTCTGGATGCTGCATGAAGAATGGAATTTAATGGGGCAACAGTGAAAGATCCCAGTCACCTAAAGGAGACTACTGGCTAGATGTAGCATGTCTTGTCTTTAGGAAACTGCTGAACTGCTCAAACAGCACCAGAGAGTAAACAGACCTAGGGCCTTTTCACAGATTTATATTACTTTGCCAAGACCCTAAGACAATAGGAAGTATCATCATGTGTAATTAGTACTGACTGGTTTCTATGCCTGGATACCTTGTTTGTTCTCCATGAAGATTTCCTGGCCTCCTCTGGTAAAGTAAGTTGTTCAGTTTCTCTGTGCCCAAGTACCTGGTGCATACACCTTTGGGTGCACTTTGCACTGTGTACACAACTTTCTGCCCCACGAATAGTGAGTTCTGTGATGGCTGTCTCTTGTCTCAGTCATCTGTGTCCCTAATTACATAACAGAACACCTAGCACTTCACAAAAGATTAATCTTGTCTGATGGGGTGGATTAATGTTTTATTCAGGGACTGTGTGAACATGTTTGCCTCCAAAACCAAATGATAAAATGTTAGAAATGCACCCCACAAGTAGGCCACCCCAAACCCCAATCCCTTACCTCTTGGGTGAGTCAGGGTCAAAGCAGGTCTTGCGCACATCAGCCACCTGGGGGTCGCAGCAGTCCCCATCGTCAAAGTCGTTCAGCATGTTGTTGCACTCCATGTGACAGAGCCCATCACTACGGTTCCAGGAGTAGCAGTGGCCCTGCCGGCGGCAGTCACCCCCATCATAGCCTGTGAGTGGGTGCTCACACTCGGGGTCGCAATGGTCATTTCCAATCTTGCTGGGCTCACAGTTCACAAGCACAACCCGGTGTCGCAGGGTAGAATTGTGGACCTGGTGGACACTCAGCTGCCAGCTGATGTTGTAGCGATTGAAGGCCTCATTCAGTGCCTCGTGCTGCAGACGAATCTGCTCCTCACTCACAATGGGGCTTAAGCCGTCATCATCGCAGATGTTCACGACCTGGTAGCGTATCACCTTCTCTCCCCGAAGGGGCCAGTATCCATTGTATTGGGAGATCAATTCCACATTGTCACAAACCGTTTGCCCACAGAGTGGGGGCTGCAAAGGAGACAGAATCTCAGGCTCTGGCTCAAAGCCCTGGAGAACCTCAAGTCGTGGGTATTTCTCATCTCTAAAGGGAACCCACTCTGTGTTCAGAGGCTCAAAACTCGCTATCAGGACCAAGTCAGTCATCTCCTCCTCCCCACTTGACTGTTGAGAACTGTTTTGAAAATGGCTTTGTGGGAGGGCGGTTGACCAGAAAGCCAGTGTGCCCAGGTGTCCACGGAAATAGTGTCTATCCTCAGATCTGTCTCCCCCGAGGAGCAAACAGCGGCAGGATGCCATGAAGGGGCTGTTCAGTGGACCAGACTGGCTGAGACTGCTAGCCACCTGAGTGCCATCCACATACAGAGCCATACGTTGTCCATCGTAAGTGGCTGCAAGGTGGGTCCATGTGCCTGGTTGGTAGCGACTGTGGCTAATCAAGATGGTGGCTTTCTTCATGCGGTCGGTACGGAGGGAGAAGAAGAAGCGAGCATCCCGCTTTCCCTTGTCCTTCCCTGAGCGGATCCCCAGGGCCCAGCCTTTGTCACTGACAGTGTGGGAGCAGTTATCAAACACACCTGGGAAAGAAGGAAGAATCGAGGGAAGAGATACCAGATACAAAGAGGAATGGAGAAAGGGAGAAGAAAGCCCATGTAAATAACAAGAATGCAGGTTTTTAATGGGGAAAAAGTAAGTAACCCAGATTTCTCACCTGAGATGCCTATTAATATCCCTATATTAGGCTGTTCTGGCATCTTCTATCCCCAAAAGGAATCTGATTTGAGATTCCACCCAAGTTAACTCATTCTAGTATGTTTATATAACCAAAATGGAAGCTGAAAAGCAGATGTTCAATGCAAATGGCAAGAATCCTATAGCACAAAGCACATTCATCACAAACGTGCTTTGCGCTGACTGGCTTTGAGTCCGTGCCTTTCTTCATTGATCCTAGCTCTTCCCCATTTCCTCAGAAGCCATGAGGCTAGTCATACTTTTTGTAAGTGACAGCTATCCCCTACCCTCTGGAAGGTGATTTTTCTCTAGTGAACATTAAAAGGATGATACTTATGGAGAAAACAAGTTGATGAATCAGGGAGTCTTTCTAAAGAAGACGGTAACATCCCAGATGTCATTCCTAGCCAACTATTCCCTCTAACACCTCTCATGGGTAAGGATGCCCATCCACAGTGAACAACTGTTCCCCAGAGAAAGCAATATGGCACTGCCTCATGGCCCTAGCTTAAAAAACTAGTCACTGAGTTAGCAGAATGACTGCTCTATACCCAGTAACACCCACCACAGTATAGAAACAGACCGTTTCCAGATTAATGAAGGTCCTATCATACACTAACTGCCTTGCACAGACAGGGCAGGTATAGGGTTGTTAAATCTAATTGAATAAACAAAGGATAGAACACCCATAAAAAGCTAGATCATTAATAAATTGGCACCAGGAAAAGGCACAAACTTTCAGATGTGGCATGATCACAGTTGGGACTCAGGCAGTTTGGAGGCCTTAAATGTTCCTAGTAACTCATCTTCAGTTTACCCACCAACTCCCGCTCAGTACCTCTTCTAGTACACAGTCTCTCAGGAATAGCTTTTACTTATAAATCACATGAAGGCAGTACGTTCACATAGGAAATGCTTAATAAATATTGCTCGCACTGATGAATAAATGATGGGAAAATCTACTAGTCTTTTGATCAGATTCGTGGGTAAACATCAAGATTCATTTTCCCCAAGCTTGTTAAATAAGAATTTTATTTGTTCCCTGACCTCCTATACAATGCAGTCCAACAATAATTATCTGTAGACAGTCTAGATTTATAAACCACAAAGCTTCCTATTCTGATGGCAGGCAAGTGTTTTATAAGTGGCTATGTTTCCAAAAGTGATAGAATATCTTCTCTTCTGTCTTCAGCATATATTAATAACTTGTTGTTTACAAAATAAAAGTACTTTTTAGCAAAAATATTTCCTCCCAAACCCAGAAATTCTAATAATTATACTTTGAATTACTAGTGATGACTACGCTACAGTACAATGGGGTGTTCCAATTTTTATGTGGGGGTTTTTGTTGTCATTGTTTTTACACTAAAGTCTATCTGTTAAAGAAGTATAAGGAATACTTCTCTACAAACCCTTGAGTAGATTTTCAAAAAAGCAAACAAATCTAGTGAGATTAATACTAAGTTCCCTGACTCATATTTTCTCCTGGTCAACTTATTTTAATAAGTACAAGTAGTAGCCTTAATTATCTATCTGACCTATGAACACGAATACTGCAATATTGAATATTGGGACCATGGAGTTAATAATCTATCAGCTGTTTGCTGATTTTTAAGAGAAAGTACTAGGGAGGTTACTTTATATTTGTTACATACACACAGGCATATATATGAGTTCAGATATAAATTGGTAGGCTTGACACATAAGTTACCAGATAATTAACATGATTATCTGCCAGGCATCTAGTTGCAATTTTAAACACTTTAACTTGCTGTCTTTAGAACATCTCATCTATCATCAAAAATATAATTGTTCTTACCTGTCTCATAGAAAGGTATAAAGTTATTAATAGTGTCTCTAAAATGATATTTCTAACTTTTTGAGATACTAAATAAAAGATGGACCACTCTGATTATACTAGTCTAGTCCTGATTAATATAAGTTTTGCAATTATATCAAAAAAATTTATAGCCAAGAGCACTAAGATAATCTATTTTACTTGTGAGATGTAGCCAGTATGTAGACATATTATTCCGAATGATTACCAAAGTGATTATTCTTTGGTGTCTAATTTATTAAGGTGTACAAGCAGCAAATGAAAAACCTCACTAGGTGCTTAGATAAGTACATTTTATTGCTTCGTTACCATTGTTCTTACTTCATCTCTATGAAGATAAACAGTCGCTGAAGCACCATCCTACACTCCTCCTAGTTAAAAAGGCATACTTAGCAAGTAGAATTATCTAACTCAACGTCAACAACTCGAGTTGTGGATGAGAGTCACATGTGGATGAGAGTCACATATATTTAACAAATAGACTATTTTCAAGCCATGTTGAGAGATTATCCCATATTACAAAAGAAATCAGTTTCTCGCTGCTGCTTAGTAGAACAAAATGTGGAAGACAGAATTTGAGAGCCTTAGTATTTTTCATCCAGTAAAGGAAAGTTAGCAAGATTGATATCAGTGGTAAGTTAAATCAGACATGAAAGTGTAAAGCTCATCTGAAATTCTTTTAAGTCATTTGTTTAAAAATTATACTAGATCAGGCATCTTAGATTTGTCTAAGATGTCTATGAAACAGTAATACATACTCGTTCATCAATTCAACAAATTAGGAATGAGAAGTAGTTAAGATAAATGAGGACCTCTTATGAATAAGTGCACAGAAACAGACTAAATTAGCTCACCTATGCAACTGCAAGTTTGGTAGATATTACAAAGCAATACTATCCGCCAGTCTCAGTACTTGGTGCTAGGGATTCAATAGTGATCAAATAGTTATATGATATCAATGGAGAGTTCAGTATAGTGCAGAAAATAAACCTGAAATAAATAACAATGGAATATTTTGACTATTGAAAGTATAAATAGCTATGGGAGCAGCAAAAGGACCTCTTCATTAAAACACGGACATAGCATAGCAGAAATTCTCCCTAAAGTCACTAAATGTCAATGTTCCAGCACTGACCTGTCTTGTTAGTAATTTGATTCCTAGAAGGCCCCCATCATCCAAATCTGCCCATGAGATTAGTGCCACCTTGATTACCAGTCAGACTGTCTGGGAAGGCTAGAGAGCGCCAAAGCCAAAGAATTCCAGAGATCAAGTCAGACATTGCCAAGCCCAACATCCTGCCAGTTTACTCAATAATATTTATTGTTAGAGTCCTCAGAATCTGTCTTTATATAAATTACTCACTTCAGCCAAATCTTCTACACTGGAAGTGTGTGTGTATGTGTGTCTGTGTGTGTGTGACTCTATTTAATTTAGCCTGTAATGTTATGTCTCATTTATATAGTCATTGAGCTTTCCAAACAAATCTTTTGTACTATTATTTAAGTGGTAAAACCATCCTTTGAGGTAGGTAGAATTCCTTTATTTTATAGATGAAGACACTGAGGCTCTGAGAGATCTGGTGTCAAACTGGGCACAGAGAGTGCACTAGAACCAAGACATCATGATTTTGAGCCCAGAACAGTTTTCTACCAAACTTATGCTAGGAAAGGCCACAGTGCATGTGCTTAAAAACATGAGTCCGCCAGAAATTATAACCTAAAATCTACCACTTACATGTTGTTAATCTCAAAAAAGGTTTTATCACTTTGCTGAGCTCTGGGTTCCTTATTTGCAGGTTTTACGTGAGAAAATCTGTGCATCTTCAGCATCCTCCAACCACAAGCTGAGACCTTAGACCTCATGAGGTTGTTGTGAGAATTAAATAAAAGAACACATGTGAAGTATCTTGGCACAGTGTTCAGCTCATATAAAGTAATTAATAAACATTAGCTATTTTGAGGAGAAAGAGTTTCATGATGCGTTATCAAAGGAAATAATAAATTAGACATAAAACCAGTGATATGATGGTAATGTTTAACAACTGGTCCTCTGAAGATTTAAAAAAAGAATCCAAGTCCTGATTTGCAACATTTGCCAACTTCTGTGGTATAAATTACTCCCAAAATGGCCAATTTTAAGTTACCAATATGATGTCAATGAACATGGGTTTGGGAAGAGATGTGTACAATTAATTGGCTCTGGTGAACCAGTTTGAGCTGCAAAGACTAAAAAGGAAAGCAATTGCAAGCTGCCAAGTGTCTCCTTTTCCCTTTGACTACTAAAGTTAGATGTGGATGCTTTGCTGATAATATCATTTTTTGCAATTTAAAAGGGGGTAAATGTTGCTTATACTCTCAGTTTTCACCCATAACATGTCTACCAGAGGACCCAGTGACCAACTGTGCCTGTGAACAAAATGTGTCCATCCCAGGTCTGCTTTTCTGCATCCTTTAGCTTCAAACTGGGGTCATAGAGAAGCCTGCACAGCTCCCCACATGCTCTCAGAAGGGACCTTCAGTCCTACTTTCTTGACCTCATTAAGCAAAAGTAAGATAAACTTTGTTTCAAAAGAAAAATTTCAGAATCCCATGTTGAGATTTCTCCTTCTTCTCAGACTAGCAGAGTAAAGACTGGCAAAACCAATGCAGCCCAAGCCAAGACAATATACGTGGTGAAACTCTGAGTTTGTGCAACATTGAGATTTTATAATTTTGGATGTACGTGAGATAGAAGCAAACATATTATAACTGTTGTTTATTCATCAAAGCCACACATTCTTGGAAAGAACAGAGGGACCAGTACATGAATATGATTTATGAAATTACTCAACACTAAACTGAACTATGATAGCCCATGGATTAGAACAATCAGATCAAACGATGTAACTCAAAACATGGTGGTAGCGTGGAAGCCAAACATTTGGACCACATCATCTTAAAACTGTAAGAATCATTTTCTCGGCTCTTTCTTGAAACTGGCTTCCATCATATATGTTTACTAAACTTATA